ACGGAGGAAAGGCCTGGTGATCTGTTTCCATAAAGATGACAGTCCAGCCAAGAAACCCCTTGGAGCAGGCCTGCTCTGTAAGACATGGCGTTGCCAGTAGCAGGGCCCAATTCTGTGGCAGAAAATAACAGCAACGTTCAATTATCCGGTTGTCTCTCAAACGGAGATTTTATCATAGCTCGATTTAAGTGACATCTAAATAAGGCTAACACATGGCAATGGGTTGATTTGTTGCTGATGTTAATTTTTTTTTTTAGCAGAGGGTGTGTGTCGATATATTTTTAATGTACGGGCTCTCCTCAAAATCCCCAATCTTTTTTCCTCTTTTAATTGTTGAAGAAGCCAGGTGGCTTGTCCAGTGGTTGCCCCCACCCCACCCCAGCTGCATCTTGCTGATTTCATGCCCCTGTGTGGTTTTCCAGGAGGATTGCTTAGTGGAGGAAGGGATGGTTGACTAGTGGCAGGGGTGTGGGCAACAGTGTGCTCTTCGGAGGGAACCACATGTGCAAAGGCCCTGAGGCATCAGAGCACAGGAAATGCAGGGAAGGGCAGTCCAATTGGAGACTTGCCAACAGGAGGGTAATGGTTGGGCATGAGGTTGAATAACCAGGTAGGCCTTGGGGAGGAGCTGAGTTTTATCACCCAGCAAGTGGCCCACCCCTGGAGAATTTTCTCCCCAGAATAAGAAAGACAATTTGGTTTGAGATTTTCAAAATCCAAACAAAACCCCCACCCCGGCTGCTAAGTGGAAAAGCTGGATGAGGAAAACCAGGGAGGAGGCTGCAGGAACGGTGTCCACACCCAGAGGCTGGGGGGTCCTAGGCTGATGAAGAGCCTGCCACACTGTCCCCCAGACAGCCTGTCTCACACATCGGGAGACTGAGCTGCCCAAGGCCCCCTCAGTGTCTGGGGTATAACAGGCACTGTCCCCGCGGTCAGCAACAGAGATCCGCCAGCTCCGCTCCTTGGTTCTCCCAGGTGCTTTGGGGCCTGGCAGCGGTTTGTGCAAAGAGGAGCCTGCTGCCGGGACCTCCAGGCTGACCGCCGGGTGGGGACCTTGAACACGTGTCTACAACAGTGGGTGCAGATGAAGCAGCTCCAGGTCTCAGATGGGGTGAAGGTCACTCGACTGCTCTTCTGCCGGCAGAAGGCAAGTAAGTGAGTGGCCAGCCGAGGTGGGGCCCCCTTTCCCTTCCTGTCTTTGGTGGGCCTGGACAGGCCTATGGATTCTTGCAGCTGGTGGTGGCACAGAAAGCTCTGGGGGTGCCGGGCCACATCCTCACCCTTACCTCCACCTCCTATGGCGGAGCCTCTGTCCTGCCTCCTCGCAAGCCAGCATGCTGAGGGCCCGGTTCCATGCTGCGTCATCTCACAGCCCAACTGAGCAGAGACTTGCTTCCCTGCTCACAGGAGGCTCCGGGGAGACACCTCCCAAACCAGCCTGATGGGGGAAGAGGGGCATTTGGGGCATCCTGACATGGGCATGGGGTTTGGAGGTGGTGGGAGGGGTTAGTGTCCCTGAGGGGAGAGGTCCCCAAGGGCTACCAACAGCTGTGAGCAGAGAGAGGTCAGCAGAGGCGTGGCTGGCCCAGCTCTGCCTACTTCTCAGGGGCCGCAGCCCTTCGCAACCCAGCGCCTGGAGAAACCCCTGCTCAGGCCCCAGGGGTGAGGGCCGGGGCCCAGGTCCAGGGGCAGCGCCTGGAGCAAGGCCGGGGCTCTCCGCAGGAAGCCTGCCGCCTGCTGGCCCTCCACCGTGTGCTGCTGCTGTGGACGACACAGCTCTCCCTGCGCCAGCAGGCCAGGTAGGTGGCCCGGCGCTTGGAACCCGGGCTTGGGCAGAGAACCACAGAACTGTGGGGCTGGAGGGAGGGGGCTGGGACCCACTCCAGCATCCGGATCCTGTCCAGATAAGAGCTCCCTGGGGGCTGGAGTCCTGTCTGTGCCCTTCCAAGCATCCAGGTGCAGCGGGCGTGGATAGGGACTACAGACGAAACCAGCCGCAGTCAAGGACTGGTGTGTGCAGCTCCGCTCCCTCCCGTCCCCCTGCCCACTGCCTCATCCTCATCATACACATATCAGACCGAGGCCCTGAGGGCTTGAGCAGCTTGCTGTGACTCAGGAGCGTGCCAGGGTCGTACGCTAACTGGCCATTGCTGGCACCTGGACCCCAGGCTGGTGGTGGTGGGCGAAGGTGGAAGGGAGCTTCCCTGATGGGATGACCAAGGGAGCACAAGCCAGCCGTCTGCCCTTGAAAGGCACACACCCAGCATCCACCGTCCCCCTCCCCACTTGGTCCAGTTGGACCCTCGGTCTCTCTTCATGTGCCTTGGGACCCCACAGGAACTCCATTCCCCACGGCCTTTGGAGTCCAGGCCCCAGTCCGTCCGCTGGCCTCCCAGCATTGGACACTCCCTCAAACACCCACCATGCCCCAGCAGCCAACCTGAGACCCAAGCACTCTCTCAGCACAGCAGGGCTACCCTGGGAGTTTGAGGAAGCGGCCCACCGCGGGCCTCAGTTTCCCTGTCTTTATAACAGAGCAGCGGCAGACTTAACCGTGTGTTTATGGGTGTGAGCTCCGGCTTCAGGGGCCCCTGGCTCTGGGCCCCAGTTCTCCCCACCATGATCTCTGTGGTCCCCACCCTTACTACCCCAGGAAGAAGCAAGGAGTCACCGGGGAGCTTTAGAAAGACCCCCTGCCCAGGCTGCACCCAGACCCATGAAAACGGAACCCCAGGCAGTGGGGCCCAGTGGGCATCTGCATGTGTAGGGAGCAGCCAATTTGGGAGCATGGGGGACAGAAGGTGCTCGTGGTAAGCACCCCTCCAACTGGGCTTTTCCACAGGGCCCAGGCTGGGGCCCCAGACTCACTTGGCCTGTGGTGTAGCTTCTTCCTCCAGGGCCTGCAGCAGCGTAGCCTGCAGTGTGTCCTGCATCGATGGCATGCAAGGGTGTGGGGCCCCTGTACCCCACCCTGCAGTGCCAGGCCCACCTCAGCTCCAGAGCCGCCCAGCAGCATCCCTGAAAGGGGGGCCTGGCCAGGCTGCAGCGTACCTCACCGCTCAGGGGTGAGGGGCTGGGGGTGGGCCAAGGCAGATGGGCAGATAAGGTGGGGGTGGGGCGAGAATGGGGTCCTAAGACTCCGCCCCTCCTCCTCAGGCTCCCAGGGACCCTGCCCTTCTGGAGACCCTCCAGGTGGCCTTTCTGCGGGCAGCAGGGCAGCGGCAGCAGAGGCAGTGCCTTTTGTTCTGGCAGGCACAGAGCCAGCAGACCCGGGGTGCGGCGAGGTGGTACCAGCTCACCCTCCAGAGGCGGTAGGGACCCCTCCCTGGACAGGCCAGCCCACTGCCCACCTCTGTGGGTTTACGGTGGCTTCCTCAGGCCCTTCTCCCATCCCTGACGTCCCCAGCACTCTCCCCTGGACTCAGCTCCCCTGGAGTCCTCCCATGTTGTACCCAGAGGCTCAGGGGCACACTACGCAGGTCATCACTTCTGGCAAGTTTTTTCCTCTGTGGTTTGATGCCTCACTCAGCACAGGGCTCTGGAGTCAGCCAACCAGTTCTAATCCCAGCTTTGCGTACCCTGACCGCGGTTTAACCCTTGTGTGCCTCGTTTGCCTCGCCTGCGCAATGGGCTCAAGATAGTCCTCACACCCGAGCTCAGAGCCCAACTCCCAGTGAGTGCCCTGTCAGTCACAAGCAGGAGGGGCTGAGCACTGACTTGGCACTGGGGGCCTGGGCCCCATCCTGTCTCCACCACTTGTCAGTGTGATCCTCAGAGAGGCATTTGGTCCCCAGCAATCACTCTCCCCCAGGACAGACTCGGGGAGAAGTGTCCCCAAGCTACGACCCCCACCCACCCAGGCCAGGTAGGAGAGCAGAGGCTGGGGCTGCCAGGGTGGCAGTACCCATCCTCAGTGGGGACACTCCCTTCCCCAGCGTGTTACTCAGCTGGAGCCACTGGACAACAGCCCAAGGGGCCCGCAGAGAGCGGGCAGCCCACTGGAACTGGGCCTGGAGCTGCAGAGCCGCGCTGGGTGTGTGGCGGTGGCGGTGGGCACAGTGGCAGCTGGCCAAGCAGTGGGCCCAGGACCGGAACCAGCGGCTGCTACAGGCCGCCCTGCAGCACTGGCACGCCTGCTGGCAGAGTGAGTCGGGACCTGAGTCGTGGGCACTGCGGGGGAGGAGAGGACCATCGGGGAGACCCCGAATGCCCTGGCCTCCAGCACAGTCCCGTCATGGGGTTCCCTACAGGGACACGCCCAGAATGGGTGGCAGAGTCCGACTTGGGAGTATAGGCTGCGGTTCCCACTCTTCTGAGAGCACTTTAAACAAGCTGCTTGCCTCCTCTGTGAAACGGAATACAATCGTCCACACGCCACAGGGGGACTCTGGGCGCTCTGTGAGGTGCTGGCCTCGCCACCTCCGGCAGCATCTTCCTCCTCGTCATCCTCACTCGGGCCCAGGAACCACGGGTCTGAGCCCCAAGATTAAGGTGACCAGACATCCCGCTTTGGGCGGGACAGTTCCGATTTTTAACAATTTTACCTGCGTCCCGCGGCGTTTTTTAAAAGTCCCGATTTTTGGAAAGAATGCACGACAAGCTAGGGTAGACGGTTTTCCACTGCCATGTGGCTATTTCACCAGGATATGAGTTTTATCAACGGTGTCCCGCTTTTGTCCCGCTTTACCAATGTTAAAATCTGGTCACCTTATCCAAGATGGAGGGAGAGGTGGGCAGTCGTAGAGCCCAGCAGACTCTGTCAGGGCGAGCTCCTGGGAGGAGGGGAGGAGGACAGCTCAGTGGGCAGGGAAGCTGAGCTCGTGAGAATGATCCCGCCCAGGTGAGACTGTGAGAATGATCCCACCCAGGTGAGGCCGTGAGAATGATCCCGCCCAGGTGAAGTGCTCGATGGGCCGAGTGGTCTGGGCCTAGGAGCTTTTTGGGTTTGTTGCAGGCCAAAGAAACAAGGTCAAGGACGGGGGGCTGGACCTTAGACAGCCATGGCCTTTGGGCAAGGAAAAAACAAAAACAAACTGTTCTCCTGGCACCTTGATTTGAATTCAGCAGAATCAAGGGAGCAACCTGAGAGGCCCCTCTGACCACATGTGTTAGTCATCTATCAGGGCCCAACAATTTCTCCCAAATGGAATGGCTTATAGCTGCAGGCCTTTCTCATCCATTTCTGTGGGTGTGGCTTGGCTGGCTCAGGTATCCCATGAGGCTTCAGTCCAGTCCACTGCCAGGGCTGTGGTCTCATCCAAAGGCACAACGGTGTGGGGGCAGGGTAACGTCCCCTTCCGAACCTGGCAGGCCCTGTTGCTTTCGCATGGTGGATACCTGGGAAGGTCCCCCAGGAGAGAGATCCAAGGGAAAGTGAGAGAGTGCTCCTAAGCTGGAGCCACAGCCCGTTTACAACCTAATCTCAGGAGGCACGTCCCGTCACTGTTGTCTTTGCTAGAAACAAGCCCAGGGCATTGCACAAGGGCTTGGGCAGGGGATGCAGAAGCCAGCGGGGCCGTGTCAAACACCGCCCGCTGCGATGGTGGTGGTGTAAGGTGCCGTTGAACCGGTTCTTATTTAGAGGACTCTGCACAGCAGGACCAGACACTGCCTGGTCCTGCGCCCTCCTTACAGTTGTCGTTAGCTCAAACATACGTGTTTCTTGGGGCAAGTCTGGGTGGGCGGTCTGCAGTCATATCATTGTGGGGGGCTCTTTCCTGCCCCCCTTCCTCAGTGGTGCCTGTGCAGCATTGGACTAAAAGCTGGGTCGCCTTTCTTTTGAATGGATACAAATATGCCTGGCACATCGCACCAGTGGGCTGCGGGGAAAGACTCGGTTGCTCCGAAGAGTTCCTGTCCTGTCCAGCGGGGCTGCTGCTTTTACAGCCCACTGGCTGCCGGGGCGAGCAGTGTGATGGTAGAGCCTCTTGTTTTTAAAGAAAAGCTAGAAATCTAGCTCCTGCTCCTGCTTCCTAAATAATGTCCCCCAAATGGAAAGCAAACACAAAGCACTCTAGATGGGGACCCCTGAATGGCACCAATGCCCAAGGGCTCGACTGCCAGCCAAAAGGGGACCAGTTTGAAGCCACCCTGAGGTCCCACCAAAGAAAGGCCTGGCAAACTGCTTCTAAGTCAGTGGTTCTCAACCTGTGGGTCACGACCCTTTGGGGGTCGAATGACCCTTTCACAGTGGTCACTGAAGACCATCGGAAAACACATTTCCAATGGTCTTAGAAATGGAGACACCGCTCCTGTATCCGTCTACAAGTGGGTCCGCCCACATGCAGATACGCCCACATATGAGTACCCGGCGTGAAGACTGTTACCCATGCTACACCATGCTTCAAGACAACATTTCATTTGTCATTAGAAAGCAATATTTCACCATAGATAATTACATCTTGTTTTTGTGATGAATCACAATGCTTTCATGACGTTCAATTTGTCACAATGAAAATTCATCCTGCCTATTGGATATTTACATGATTCATCACAGTAGCAAAATGACAGTGATGACGTAGCAACGAAAATAATGCTATGGTTGGGGGTCACCACCACATGAGGAACGGTATGAAAGGGTCGTGGCCTGAGGGAGGTGCTCTAAGAGGTCACAGTCATGAAGCCCCCTGGGGAGCAGCTCTGCCTGCAGAAGCAAGGTCACCGCTGTGAACGGGGGTCACCAGAGAACGACACCATGGGCCTGGTCACAGCCCTGTCATCAGGATGCATCTTACCTTGGACACTCACCTGTTCTCACCTGGGGAGAGGGCAAAGGGCTGGGTGGACAAGGACCAGGGTGCAGCACCTCATTTGACTCCAATTTCTGTCTGGTCACAGGACATCAGGTTCTGCATGAAAAGTACCAGGCCTGGGCTCAGGTCCAGTTTCAGGGCCTACAGAGGACTGTGTTCTGGGGATGGCGGCTGGCAGCAGCTCAGCAGAGACACCTGGTGACCAAGCAAGAGCAGCTCCTACTGCACAGGTGGGTGGGCCTGGGGGTGGGGAGTGGGTGGGTGGCGAAGTGGCAAGCCAGGTGAGGTCATCCCCACACCAGGAAAATCAGGGAGAGAGCTGGGGGGACAACAGGGCTGGAAGGTTTAGGTCCTGGGAAATAGGAACATGAAGGGAGACCCCAGCTTGGAGACTGGGGGTCATGACTAGCAACCTCTGCTCTGTGGAAGGGATGGCAACCCCAAGCCCAGCCTCTGGCCCTGAGCAGCCCCTGGCCAAGGCAGTCCTATGGTCCCAGAGAGTACACTTAAAAACCACCAATTGCTGTCCGGCCGATTTGACCTCCTGCCCACGCTGTGCATGTCAGAGGAGAACTGTGCTCTGCAGGGTTTGTCAGTGGCTGGTTTGGGGAAGGGGTCACCAGATCATTCTTCTAAGGTGCCTCCGGGTGGACTCGAACCTTTCAGTTAGTAGCCGAGTGGGAACCCAGGGACTCCAGCTGGTACAATTCAGATCAGCTCATTCCAAAGCCTGCTCTCAGGTTGCTGGGGCCATTGAGGTTGCCGGTGACGACATCCCCACAAAATACGTACTTACCTTCATGGGTGCATGTTATTTATGTGGGTACACTCTCTGCAATGTATGCTACTATATATATAGTTATATATGTATATACATGTATAGATATGTATATATATAGTTCAGTAATACATTTGGTATATGGTTTTTTAAAGTAGAAGGCACAAATGATGCTCCTACACAGATCAGCTACAAATTCCCACAGGCTCATGGTGACCCCTCCAGCCCCAGAGTGCATGGACATTGTATTGGGCCATCAGGGTGGCGGGGCTAAGCACCAGTCCCAGAATAGCCATGTGAAAGGAGTCAAGACCTGACTGTCTCCCCTGGCCCTGCCCCAGACCAACTGGGATTTGAACCTGCAACTAACAAGGACTCCATACCCCTGGCCTTAGCAGCACCTGCCCCTGGGAAACAGGAACACCGAGGGAGACCCCAGCTGGGAGCCTGGGCTTCCCAGACAGGCCGCTGGACAAAAACCAGTGCCCCCAGCAGGGAGATCCTGAGGGACTTGGTGGGCAACTCTGGGCCCCTCCTGCTCCTCTTTCGCAGCCATTTCCAGGGCTGGCGAGGGCTAGTGAGAAAGGTTGGGGTGCTCCGGGCCCAGTGCCTAGCCTTCCAGGACAGCCAGATGAGAAGGGTGCTGCGGACCATGTTTGGCGTGTGGCAGGAAGCCCTGGTGGCGGCAGCCCAGGCCCAGGGGCAGCGCGAGGCTGAGGCGTGCCAGCAGCTGCGGCGGGCCTGGGCCCAGCGTGCCTTTGCAGTATGGCGTGGAGCCCTGGACCTACGCCACAAGGCCCACCAGCTGGCAGAAGAGAGTGCCCATACCCGGGTGACTCTGTGCTGGATGCTGTGGGTACGGGCATCCCAACTGCACCAGGTCAGCCGAGCCCATGCTGCCCGCAAGCTAAGTGCCCGGTGAGTGCCCCCCTAAGTGCCTCGGGTAGCCCCTGCTGGGCTGGACTTTGTGCTCTGTTCTTAGCAGGGGTGGAAACAGGACAGAGGCTGGGGGTGGGGTGGTGGCAGCTACTCTGGGCTTGGCTCAGAGCCAGACACCCAGCTGAGCAGGTGCTGCTCATGAGTGAGGCGGGGTGGAGGGGAGGGGCAAAGCCTGGTGCTCTGCCCACGGGGTCCCTTCATGCCAGGACACGGGTGAAGGCCACCAGGGCTCCTGACTGAGCTCACGATTAGGTGGGTGGCCCTGATGACCCCAGCTGTGGCTCCTCCCTCTCCCCCAGGGTCCTAGGGGCCTGGGCTCAAGCAGTGGTCCAGGCCCATGTCCAGCTCCAACAGGCTGGGTCCAGGCTGCTCCTGCGGACCTACTGGGCCCTGTGGCAGACAGCACTGCTCAGAGTGCGCCCGGAAGCCCCGGCTGAGGCCAAGGAGGTCAGCATTGTTCACCAGATGCATTGCCCAACACTGGCCAGCAGAGGGAGGCCCCTCCTGCTGGCGGAGGCCCCTGCCATCCCGCAGGTGAGGTGGGGCCCAGGCGGAGTGGTGGAGGTGGTGGTGGGATGTACAGCGGAGTCCGTTCTGGCCCACCCAAAGCAGCCCATGTCTGTAGCAAAAGGAGGGAGTGCCCATGGCTGCGTTTGAGCGGCCACTGTGTCCGTCTTGGTGGAAGCCTTCGCCGGGGGCTGTGCGAAACTGAAGACAGGCAGGTGTTGAGGAAGTGCTGCAAAGCGAGCTCCTCGGGGGCCTAGCTGAGGTTGCTAGTCTTGAGAAGGGTTTGAATGAAAAGCATTCGGTTCCAACTTATGTCTGCCTCCGCATCCTAACAAACTCGGTCTCAACCTTCGTTTCAGACGCAAAGGCCTGTGAGGAGCGCAGGGGCAAGCTTAGAGAGCAACACCTGGGGACACAGGCTGGGGACTGAGACTTGACACACACCTGGCTCAACTCTAAAGTGGGATCGATCAGGCTGAAAGGAGCGAGCATTTACCCTAAAGCTGTTCCCCACCAGTACCTTCTCCCACCCTCTTGCCGCCGTGGCATCTTCTCTGGGGCCAACTACACACAGGCACCCTGGCAGGCATGGCTCTTTCTCCAGGTTAGGCATCTTGACCTCTGTCTTGTTTGGGGTTTTAAGCAGGAATGAACATTTTAAATGAATTCAGAATAGGATTTTTCATTGAGGTCTGGAGTCCCCCGACTTGATAGATTTACAATTCTGCTTCCGTCTCATTGAGGCTCTTCCTTCCCCACCTCCCAGGAGCCTCATTCTCCGGGGACTGGTCCCTCCTGAACACATGTCCGAAGTCACAAAGTCTCACCATCCTCACTTCTAAAGAGCCTGCTGGCTGTTTTTCTCGCAGGATAGATTTGTTTGTTCTCCTGGCCGTCCAGGGTGCAGACAATATTCTTGGCCAACCCCACCATTCAAGGGCATCTGCTGTCCCCTGTCTTCCTTTTCCATGGCCCCGCTTTACTGGTCATACAAGGTGATTGAAAATCCATGCATGCTTGGCCGGTGGGGTGGGAGAGCTTCAAGTGAACATGGGCCATTGACCTCCGATTCAGTCACTATCCCTACTGGTTCCAATTAAACAGCCAAACCCTGGCTTCCAGGCCGTCTCTGAACTGGCAGACAGCCAACCCCAGGCTGTGACCTGTCTGCAGTATTCACTGAGCCCTGGGTGCCAGCCCTGCCCTGGACCAGACTGCCAAGTGTGATGGACCAGTCTGTTGGGAGTCAGGCCCCTGAACTCATTACACATCGTGATGTCATCCAGGATCAAGACAGAGACAGGGGCATATTAGCAATTTTATCTGTCAAGATTTGGGGCTGTTTATTGGGGGGGGAAATGGAATCTACTTGTCAGAGGAAGCCAGCTTCCAACAACCGAAGGGCCAGTAGGCGCAATTGTATGGTGCTAATATATAAAGATTATAGTATAGTCATATAGAATAAGAAAGATAGGCGAGAGGGTAAAATAAAGGGGTCAGACACATTTTATGGTAGCATGCTCACCTCAGCCCCTCTTAATAGTCCATGTGGAACTGGGAGAAGAGAGAGGATGTCTTTACTGTCTTGGGACATTTATAGGTAGCCATAAGACTTGCATATTCAGTAGTTACATGCATCACAAGGTCCCTGAGCTCACAGATGAGAGGAAACCTAATACCTGCATTGGGGGAAGGAATGATGGGGGGTGGGTGACACAGCAGGAGAGCAAAAAGGATGTCTGCATTTATAGGGAGGCAAAATCAGCATAGCTGTTAGGGGAGAATCTGTGGGAATGATATTTAAAGCATGATAATGTACTTGGACTTTACCTCTAACTTACCAAAGTGGAGGCTTTCCTACTGTGGATTAAATACTAGCTTCCCAGATCCCCTCTAAGTTTGGGAATATAGTCCTCATAGTTCCCTCAGTATTAGTTTCCCACATCACTTTCTGAAAAATTCAGAAGATACTAAGTAAAATACTTCTCCCATAATTTTAGCTGCTGAAAGATAATCACCAATCCAGACTTTTCCAGGCCAGAAGCAGTTAGTTCTGACCATGTATGGTGCAGTGAGACCTCGTATGGTGCAGCGAGACCATGCATGGTGCAGTGAGACCTCGTATGGTGCAGCGAGACCATGTATGGTGCAGTGAGACCTCGTATGGTGCAGCGAGACCATGTATGGTGCAGTGAGACCTCGTGCCCAGCTGGAGGGAAGCACCAGCGACAATGAAAACCAGGCTCAAGAAATAACGGGACAGGTCGTGGAGGGCAGACAGCCCCAAGTCCTGGCAGCCCTGAATGTCAACCCTGCACAGCAGCATGTTCCTAAAATGATGTTTCGCCAAAAATTCTCTTGCAGGATGCCCAAACAGAAGCCACACCCATCTCCATCTGTCGACAGGACAGAGTAGAACTTCCTCATAGGGTTTCAGAGGCTGTAAATCTTTGTGGAAGACTTAAACCTATTAAATCACAAACCTTTAAAAATCGAGGTACTGTCATATCTGAATTAGGTGACATTTTAAAATTTATTTTAAAGCTTAGACCTACATTAAAATAACATTATTTTCCCCAGAGGAGTGGCTGGGGTTTCAAATGCTTCACCAGTCTGCCACCAGGGTTCTTTTGAGAATGCCAGGAAGTATGTAATAGATTTCAGAAAGATTCTGAGAAAAAGGATTAAGGTGCTGTGTGTGTGTGTGTGTTTCACAACGGCATCCAAATAGCACTGAGGAAGCATACAACTTCACAAGACTAGCTTTGGTTATTCCCAGAATTCATAGGTCAGACGGGTGTTGTTAGCTGCCATCGCATCCTTTCCAGCTCACAGCGACCCAAAGTCCAACAGAAGGAAACACCGCCCCGTCCTGCACCGCCCCCCCATCTGTTCTTAGGTTTGAGCTCAGTGTTGGCGCCCCTGTATCACTCTATCTTGCCCAGTCTTCCCCTTTTCCCTGCCCCTCTACAGTACCAAGGGTGATGTCCTTCGGGGACTGGTCTCTCCTGACAGCGTGTCCAAAGTACGCGAGACAAACATCCCCACCTGTCCTTCTGAGCATCCTGGCTGGGCTTCTTCCAAGACAGCTGTGCTCGGCAGTCTGTGGTAGGTCCAGTATTCTTCGCCAGCACCCTAATTCAAAGGCATCCGTTCTTCTTCAACCTCCCTTATTCAGTGTCCAACTTTCACACACATGAGGTGACTGCAAATGCTTGGCTTGGGCGCACCTTTGTCCTCAGAGTGCCTGCCTGTTCTTTGTCAGGTGATTACCGGCTTCACTCAGCATGCCGTTCTTCAGACCCGTCTGTGCCATGCGCTGCTCCAGCGGCATCATTCTTCTTTCGCAATGTGGAGTATTCCATAGTACGTATGTGCCAGTTGGTCTGTCCATCCTCCATTGAGTGTTTCCATCTTCCTGCTATTGTGAACGGTGCTGTGAGGAACTTGGGTGTGTGTATCTCTGCCTGTGCTTTGCACTTTGTTTCTTTAGGGTCTATGCCAAGTCGAGGGCTTGCTGGGTCCGATGGTACGTCTATCTCCCAGTTGTTTGAGGAAGCCCCATACCGCTCTCCAGATTGGCTGTACCGTTCTAGTCCCACCAGCGGCGTGTGAGGGTTTGGACCTCCCCACACCTTGTCTAGCATTGGTGCTTTCCTGTTCTGATTTGAACTTTGCTATCAGTGCCGGTGTGAGGTGGAGCCCATCGTTTTGATCTGCATCTCTTGGATGGCAAGTGATCACGAACATTTCTTATGCTTGTTGGCCCCCTGGATGTCTTCTTTGTCCTCTGCCCATTTAAAAATTAAATTGCGTGGCTGCTTCTTGTCTTGTGGGGGGTAGTTTTCTATGGACTTTATTTCTATCCCGTTGTTTTAGGTAGTGCTTTATCACCTTCCACAATGTTTGCACATATTTCTATAGATTTTAGAGATCAGTCCCTTACCTGATGTTATCAATGCCTCTCCCTCCCAGTTTTCCCTTCTGATGCACACGTCTTATTTTCAGAAGGTCCCAGCCATTTGCTTTGTCTTCTGCTGTGTGTTGTGGCTTGACAGTGTGTTTATGCCCTAAGTCTGTCCCTGTCATTTTTAATGGGTGGCCTTTGCATTTCTAGGATTTACATTTAGGTCTTCAATCCATCATAAGCCCACATTGGTATATTGAGTGATATGAAAGACTATCTTCCCCCCACCTAATGTATGCGAGCCTTTTGTCAAAAGCCTGCAGACGGGTGAATTTATTTTCTGAGTCCTCTATTCCGTTCCATCGGTTTATGTAGCTGTCGTACCGCCGGGCTGTGTTTTCTTTCTTTTTCAGAGCTCTTTGTTAGTACACAGACATCCAGTTGACTTTTGTATGTTGGTCATGTATCCCACCATGTTGCTGAGCTCTGAGGTCAGGAAATGCAAGGCCCCCATACTATGTTCTCCTTTAGTAATGCTCCTCTCCATAGTTTTTCCATCTCTTCAAAGAATGTTGCTGGATCAGAATGGCATATTTACAAATTGCTTTGTGTAGTAATATTTTCACAATATCACATCTTCCTACCCATGCACAGAGAACATTCTTCCATTCATGTATGTCTCCTTGGGTTTCTTGTGTTTTGTTTTCTTTGTATGTCTTTTATCTAGTTACATTTACTCCTAAACATGTCATCTTTTAGGTGGCTATTGTAAAATGGTGTTTTATTAATTTCCTTTTCAGAGTGCTTTTTGTATGCTGACCTTACACCCCGATGTGTCACTGAAATATTTCAATTATCTCCAAGAGGTTTTGTTTGGTCGAGTCTCTGGGGGCTTCTAAGTATGGGATCATATCACCTGCTAATAGTTTTACTTCATGGCCAACTTGGATGTCTTTTCTTGCTGTGTCTAAGAGCTCTGGCAAGACTCCCGGCCCAATACTGAGAGTTGTGACAAGGGCCATCCGGTCTGGCTCCCAGCCACAGGGGAATGCCTTCAGTTTCTCTCCATTGTCCAAGCTCTTAGCCCTTCATTAGGTTGAGGAATTTCCCTTGCATTCCTATTTTGTTGAATGCTTTTCATCAGGAATGGGTGTTGGGATTTCCTCAAATGCCTTTTCCACATCAATTGACATGATTGTGTAGTTCTTTTTCCTTTATACGGTGGCTTACATTTTCCAATGGTGAGCTAACTACATTCTGATGTTTCTGTTTATAATAATGGCTACTGTGATGTCCTAGCATTATATCTTGATTCGTCCTGGTATGTGTTTAGGGGAACAGTTTTACTTTGAGGTTATCAATACTTCCATCCCGTCCCTATAAGCAAGGTAAGGCAGGGGCCCCATTTTATGCGGAAACTGGCTTATAGGGAATAAAAGTAAATGAAGAAATGGTGACTAAGGTCCCTAACTTTAAGGCCTCCTTTCTCCCCAGTCAGCCATCACCTAGGGTGTGTGGGTGAGGGCACGGTGGCAGAGTGCCCTGAGAGACACCTGGTCTGGTCACAGCTGGATGAGATGTCAGCCCCCCATTTATGCAGACAGGAACCTGATAATGGTCAGGGGAAGACTAGGACAGGGATCCTGCCGGGTCACCCTGATTCAGCTGGTCCAGTTCAGGGCCCAGCTTGTCCTCTCTGGTCATTCCCTCAGGCCTCAGTGCTCGGACTGCCTGGGTCAGCCCAGAACCTTCTCAGCAGCCAGAGAGAGAGGACAGGGCCGCAGTGGGCTCAAGGTAAGGACACCGTCCCCCTGGGACAAGGTCTATAGTGAGGGGGAGGTGGTCTCTGCCCCCAAGGTGACCCAGTGCTCCATGTTCTGCTCAGGCATGTTGAAAGCAGTTCTTCATGCCTGCCTGTCACCTATGGGCTGCTTCTCCACATGGCAGCGCCGCCCTGCCCTTGGCCCCTGCTCACCTTCAGAAGGACAGGCAAGCCTGAATATTACCTACTCTCTTAAGGCTCAATCCCCCTTTCAGCCTACAGAGAGCAGGACTTCACGTGTCCCCCTGCCTGCTACCAGCCTCCCCTGTATCAGGCTGTCCAGCTCTGGCTCCGGTGGCCTGTCTGTGGCCATTGGGCCCAGGGGCTGCCCTTATGGACGGCACCCAGCAGGTCCCCTACAGGACCAGGTGGGGACTGCCGCCTCGACAGAACCCTCAAAGGCCCTGGGAAGGCCCATCAGAGCTTCCGGTGAGGGCGGCAGGGCAGGGGTGTGAGGGAGCCAGAGTTGTGTGGGGGGCATGGGAACAGGGCAGGAGCGGGCAGGCTGAAGCCAGTGGTGGTGTGGCCCCTTCCTGCTCCCGAGTCTCAGGACACACACTGGGCCCCACCTGCAGGATGATTTTGCCGCGCTGGCACCTTGAGGCACTGCTTCGCCAGTTCCAGGGCTCCCAGCAGGCCAGGTGCCTGGCAGCCGCATGGCAGCACTGGGTACAGGCTCACAGGACAGAGCAGCTGGCACAGGCCCTGGTGAGTAAGGGCACCACAGCCAAGAGATCTCAGGGCCCAGACTCTCCTCCTAGTTCCAGCCATTTCTCAACTGAAGCCTAGAAAGTCTTTCTTAAGAATGGCTAACGGGCCTACCATGTCTGAGATCTGGGGCCAGGCCTGGGAATCTGCATTGCGAACCTGTGCCTCAGGGATGGCCCCTCTCCTTGCTCGGAGGAGCAGCCTGGAGGAGGCCCGACCCCAGACCATCTCTGTCCGTCCTCACAGCTCAGGTGCAGGCACCTGGACCGGGCCTGGGGCACGTGGCGGCGGCGGGTCCTGCAGCTGAGGGTGGTGCTGCGCTTCCTGCAACAGGAAGACACTGCCATCCTTTCCCAGGTACCAACCCTGCAGCCCCACCCCAGCAACTGCCCCAGGGTCACTAGGGGCCTCCCTGCCCCCCAAACCCTGACCTTTTGGCCAGTCAATGCCTACTGAGACCTACTGGGTGGCGTCAACTGCCCACAGGGCTCCCCAGGCTGGCTTCTGAGGGAGGCAGACCCTCGTCTTTCTCCCCCCAAGCAGCTCCTGACTTTGAGCTGTTAACCTTAGGTTAGTCATGGAGCCACTGGGACACCATGCCCCAGGGCCCCTTCATTGCTGGGGAGCTGGAGTGGGGGTGTCAGCCAGGCTGTGGAACAGAGCTTGGTGACTGGTTGGGGGAGACTCATGTCAGCCAGTCCGTCCCCCGGCCCTGATAACAAGGCCTGCCTGTGGCCGCAGCTTCAACTCACATGTGACTTTACCTTGTAGGGTACCCTCCCTCATCTGCCCCCACTCCATGTCCAGCTCCCCAGGCAGCCGCGTCAGACCTATTTTGAGGCTGTTGTTTGGCCTGTGGGGGAGGGGTCTCTGTCACCACGGGAAATCTGCTGGCCAGGCCACAGCGGTGACCTTTGCACAGACTTGGGGGGGAGGCCCAAGGCAGCAGCAAACAGTTCTCTCCCTTCCCCACTCCAGGCCTTTGAGAAGTGGCACCAGCGCCTGGCAGCCAGGGGCTGGGGACATGGAGCCCACAGCAGTCGGGGAACCCAGCCAAGCAGGGCCCTGGGGTCCCAGGGGCAGGTGGAAGATGCCCGGGCCCAGGGCCTGTGGACTCGGGAGGAGCAGGGGCCCAGCTGCAGCTGTGACTTGCTTCCACAAAGGGAAAGTCGAAGTATGCCGGACTTCCTGATGGGAAGGGGCCCAGGCCCACCCGTCCGGCCAGGGCAGCGGGCTGCTCCTTCCACAGCCTGGGGACCTGGCACTGAGGGGCAATAAAAATGTCCACCTGCATCCTAGTGGTCTCTCCTGATTTGCCCTTGACAGGAGCAGGTGCAGGGTACCCCACAATGGGGGAAGAGGTGTGATGCCGCAGGGACTCTGAGTACCAGGGTGATGACTCCTTTATCCCCAGAGACACTTGAGCCACCAAATAAATGACAAGGGTTTGCAAAAGCAGCACTGTACACAAGTAGAAAAATCAGCACGGCTCTCGATAGGAGCACGCTGGAGGATGTTGCCTGTCAGGTGTCAGCCTCAGGCCTGTCCAAGGGCCCGGCCCCTTGGCCAGCAAGGAGGAAGGCAGGCAGTGTTTGGACCTTTAGTTAACAGTGGGCAGGGCCCAGCTGCCGTGTCCTAGAGTCCTGGCTCTTCTGCAGACAGGAGCCCATGACTATAGCCACCCGTCCTGCACGGGCCTGGAGTGCTGGTCCATCTGGAGTGCTTGCCTGGCTCTGAGGGCCAAAGAGAACGGTGGGCCCCACCTGGAGTGCCAGGTCCCACACTGGGCCGACTCGGTGCAGCCAGAGGCTGGGAGCCTGGCAGCCAGTCTAGCTGCCACCATCGTGTCGGGTGGAGGCCGGGGCTTGGAGAGGATGAAGGGAGGAGAGGACTCCAGGAGACTCAGAGCCGAGAGGAGGGCGGCGGGACTCTAGATGGCAAGGGTCAGGGCCACCTGGCGAGGTCTCATTCTGGAGGGGGCCCGTCAGCAGCTCAAATGTGTCCTCCACCACCTGCCACAGGCAGTTGTCCAGCGGAAACTCGTTGTCCACCAGGTTGACCAGGAAGTAGTTGTCATGGATGTGCTGGATGACCGTGCGGGACGGGGACCCCTCCTCGTACAGCTTGCCCCACTGCTCCATCCACAGGGCAAAGGCCTCGTCCTGCACCCGGGCAAGGCCTGTCAGGATCCTGCCACGCCAGATGCTCGAGGGCTCCCACCCCCTCACAACGGGCATCTCTAGAACTAGAACAGGGCCACCCCCTGTGCTGCCCCCCAACCCCCACTCCACGTGTGCCCAATAAACCAGGTCGGCAGCACACTGGTGCACCAGTCAGCGGTCCTGGGCCCGAGGCCTCCCGTCCAGGCCACCCCCAGGTGCCAGGGTGGGGAGGGCAGCTGCTCCCTGCTCCGTACCTTCCAGAACATGAAGCTGACGGGGTCCACCACCGTGGGCTGGATGATCTCCCGCCCGGGGAAGATGCCCCATGTGACTGCGTTGGGCTGCAGCTCAGGGGCGTTGGTGATGTTCTCACCCTGGGGTGAGGGGACAGACAGTGGCCTGCCTTCTACTGCCTGGAGAACCCCAACTTGACTCACCATCCTCTAGCTGCCCAGTCTGCCCTCCACCCACGCCCTCTCCATGGGAGCCCCAAACCTAGGGGTCCCTGGGGCCTGCCCTTTCTCCCATCGGCCGCTCTACTGGTCCCTCTCTGGTCCAGCCGTGGCTGGGCCTCTCCTTCTCCCTGGCCCATGCACCCTCTAGCTGGCCTCCCTGCTCTGGGCTCCCGCCTGCTAGCCACGCGGCAGCTCACCGGATCTTAAGATCAAAACTGGAACCCCGCTGCTCCACTACCAGACAAGTGCTTCCTGTCACCTTAGGGTGTGCAGGACAACCAGGATCCAAGGAACTGGCCCGCTTCCTTCCCCCACAGCGGCCCTGGTACACCCTCCGCCTTGCCAACACCTCGCCACCCAGAAAGACGGCTACACAGGACCTTTGAGAAGCTGGCCTCTGGGCTAACTGCTCTTCCTCGGGAACCCCGGGGCCCTAACTGAACGTGAAAGTGTCTGCCTGCCTCCACAGCCCTCAAGGACAGGGCTTGGCTTTGTCCCTGTCTGTCTTGTCACGGCTGGACGAAGACACAGAGGTGGGTGTCCTCAGCCAGCACTGAGCCGGGGGCAGCCTACCTTCACGTCGACGATGTGGTAGTTGACTCGGAGCTCGTACCGCTTCAGCACCTGCAGCAGCGCGGCCACGGTGGCTCGGGATGTGAAGAACTCCAAATAGGCCTGGGGCAGGCGGGGACACAGACGCTCACTGGTCACAGCAACCTCAGGGCAAGCCCAGCGCCATCCGTGTGCTGCCAGCACACTGTGTGCGCCCCACACCAGAGACACTAGCATGGGTGCTAGTGCGGGCCACGAGGGGGTGTGACCAGGAACCAGGAATGGGCGAGGGAGGAGACCCTCCACTTGGACACGTCTGAGGAATGGCTGCTGCCTCTCCTCCACGGAGAGCCCAGAGGTTGTGCAGGAAGGAGGCCCGGTTTGAAAAGCTG